TGCCAATGAACCAGCTCCTGGTGGCATTGCTGAGAACGAGGTTGTTGATGTAGTGCACGTAGGGATCGTATGATGGCATCGACGCCAGATCCGCGTGTGCCTTGAAGTGCTCCTTGCGGGTGGAGATGTCGTGGAATGTTTGGCCTCCCCAGAACTTGCCCTGAGGGAACGTTTGCATGGTGATGGCCGTGACGACGCCGAAGTTATTTGCGCCGCCTCTGAGGGCTTTCCACAGGTCCCTGTTCTCTCGCTCGTTCGCGTGAACGATGTCGCCGCTAGCGAGGACGACCTCGAAGTCCTCAACCACGTCGCAGATGAAGCCATAGCGAGGAGAGAAGAATGATGTGCCGCAGCCAAGGACTGCACCGCCCACACCAACACCCGCGACACGGGCGCCTAGGGTACTAAGATCGTATGGGTCAAGTTGCTCAGTGACCTGGTCCCAAGTCTGACTGGGGCTGACGACGATTGTCTTGCGATCCGCTGAGATACCGGAGGCCGGGAGACGAGCTAGGTCGATCAATACTCCGCCGTCGATGCTTGCGGCGCCTTTGTAGGGAGTATGCCCGCCACCGCGGATGGCAAACTGGCATTGATTCTTGCGTAATTCGAAACCTCGGGTGAGGGATCTCACTGCAATCGAGACATCATTGGAGGACTCGGGAATGACGATGCAGGCTGGATGAGTCTCGGCATTCTTGAGACTGAAGTATGAGCCGACCGACGAGGTGTAAGCTGTGTCGCGAGGTATCACCACATTGTGGCTGCCCATCAGCTTGACAAGTGCCTCACACTTTGATATAGTTAGCAAGTCAACATGCAAAGCTCATTGATTTAAAGGACTCACGCATGATGTCGAAGATGCAACCGCGTCTTCTACTGCTGCACTGCCAGGCGCAGAGTTCAGGCTCCCCAAGAGGATCTCATTGCTGGATGCCAGCTTCGAGAGGCTGAGCACCCACTGTTGGAGACCTGCGCCGAACATGATTCAAAATCTTAAAATTCTATGGAAATATGGGAAAATGCGAAATTGGGCTTTGATAGGGTTGACATGATGGAATTCTAGAGAAAGCGGATGATGCTTCAACAAAAGTACCGGGCGATTGCGCGAGTCGGCCAGATAGGGTGTTGTCCAATCGCCGAAAGTTTAGTACGTTTCCCTTAGTTTTGGGCGGTTCCCGCGCCCCGGGAAAGCACTACGGCAAACGAATAGCACCCTGTAACGGACAATTATGAGCATTCACCGGTCTCGTCAACGCTGGAGACATGCTGGTTTATCCGCAGGTTCATAATACAGCAGGTGAAGAAGACATCTAAACCCAAGCTGGAGTTTTGTCTGAATCGGCTACTCCAAGGACAATTCACGAACACTTCTCGCCAAAATGCCTGGTCTTACTACTACCGATATTCACAAAGTCGCGGTGGTTGGGGTAAGCCCCAGGCCATCCATGCCCATAGGGGAGTGTATGCTGACAACATGGGCAGAAAGGATATGTCGGAGGATACGTCTACGACAAACTCGTCGACGCCGGCTTCGATGTGACGGTCCTCTCTCGGTCGAACCCAAATAACAAGGCCAACGTCCGGGTCGTAGATTACGAATCCACGAAAAGCCTCACAGAGGCGTTGGAAGGCCAGGATGCCGTCGTCTCGACCATCTCGATGGCAGGCTGGCCCCACCAGTACAAGCTGATTGACGCCGCCGTCGCCGCAGGCACCGTCAAGCACTTCATCCCCAGCGACTTCACCGCGCTCTCCACCAACCCGCAAGTTGCCAGTCTGCCGTACTACAGAGACGCGGTCGGCATCCAGGACTACCTGCGAAAGAAGGCAGAGAGCGCAGGCATGAAGTGGACTGTCATTCAGACTGGCCCCATTATTGGGTGCGTGCTGAATGGAGCGTATGCGTACAACTTCCAAGACCGGACTGCGTTGCAAGTCGGCGACGAGAACAACAGCGGCCATAAAGTTAGCATGACGCGGGGCTACACCATTGGAAAGGCGGTTGTGTCCATATTCAGTAAGACGAAGGAGCTGAAGAGCGGACCCATTCACATCCATGATGTTGTTACGTCGCAGCAAGAGATTCTCAGGATTGCGGAAGAGAAGTCCGGCGCGAAGTGGTCGGTCTCTCATGTGGATGCTGAGGCCAAGCTGCAGGAAGGGCTCGGCATGTTCAAGGCAGCTGGAGACAAGCCGCCTCCTATCTTCGCTACGTTTCTCGTCATCCACTACACCATCTTTGGCGGCAAATACAAGACCGACTGGAACGGAGAGGGTAACAAGGCACTTGGTATTCCAACTTTGGCGAGAGAGGAGTGGGAGGATCTGATTGCGCAGAGGGTTCGGAACGAGCCTATTGATGGTGGGCTTCCGTGGAACTCTGCACCCAAGCCAAGGAAGTAAAATTCCACAACCTGTGTACCAGAGTAGACTGCTGTAAAGTTATTGAAAATACAGAGACGGTTCAAGTCTAAAGCCATATTGTGTTGGTCTAGTCATTTGGAACTTTCTAGGCGATTAGAAACGATGAAGTGGCGATCTTTCTTTCCTTCTAAGGCGATATTGTGGTACAACTGCAGAAAGAGAGGCAATCACCACGCTCAGAAAAGATTTTCTTCTGGACTCCAGGTAACGATGACTACATGCTAGATGCTTACTCAATAAATAAATACAAGTTTAGTGTCTTTAACAAATACTTCATACAATGATGCTCTACTAAGAGGGCAGAGCGAACCCGTTCCATTCGCGATACTCCAGCGGCACCTCCGGAAACTGGTCAATGCCGTCCATTAAGACAATACCCATTCCTCCGGCCTGATGGGTCTGCACATGGCAGTGCAGAAGCCAAGCGCCCGGATTTTCAACCTGGTATCTCACGACTGTCCAGACCGCGGGTGCATTACCGGCAATGTCTGGTGTGGTGAAAGTGTCGAGATGAGCCGGGTTCTCGAAGTTGAATGACCCCACCGGAAGGCTTCGCTCGGCGTCTTCCACGCTTCTCCAGGGAAACCTCCCTATACCAGAGCCAAGAAAAAACACCTTATTCCCATGCTTGTGAATCGGATGACTTTGAGCAAAAGGGCCCTCGGTCTCCAAGATCATGTCTACCCAATCACCAACTTCCGAGAAGACCACCAGCTCGCTCTCAGGTGCTTTGCTAGGTCCTTTGAAGAGCATTGGCGGGTCCAGTTCTTCAGCCGTCATGTTGTACAGCTCATGCCCCGAGAGGCTCCACTCGTACGCACCGTGAGGGCGACCAGGCTTTCTCAACACCAGCTTGACTGTCCGGTCAGGTCGTCTGGCCGGTCGCCGTTCAGGATACGGCTGGCCTTCTTCTGGCTTGAATGATCGGATTGGATCGATGAGAGGCTGCCCTGCGTAATTCATCTTTGGCTTTTGGTGACGCGGCGGGTCAGCAGCGTCGCCATACGCCATCTCTGCGAAGCCCCCGAGGATTTGGTTGAGGAGGTCATTGGCCATTCGGATAGTGTACCGCGCAGGCCCCTGGTCAAGTTTTACAAGCACTGACACTCGGTTTCCGTTGCCGACGTAAACGCGATCAGTAACCACAGGGTGAATGTACTGTCCGTCCACGGCATAGACATGAAGCTCGTGGTTGTCAATAGAAACTTGCAATGGGTAGAGGCCGCCAACATTGACAAAGGTCAGCGCCGCCCAGCCCAGTTTCTCATCAACACTGAAAGTGAAGTTGCCCTTGGGGTTTCTTCCCCCAATGCACTCTCTCACAGCATGCGGCGGAAGCTTCGCAACATCTACATCGTAGTCTCCCTGCAGCGCCTGAATTGGTGGCACGCAGCCCTTTGTCGTCATGTGGTCCTCGCCGAGGTCCTTCAGCATCTTGAGGATGATGGGGTTGGTCATGTTGTCCAACGTGATTGGGCCGAGGCAGTATTGAGATCCCACCCCGTTGACAATGATGGCATCCGTGCAAGCCAAGTCGAAGTTTGCAGTCGTTTCTATGTGGTAAAAGTCGTCAAACTTGTACTGGCTCCAGTCGGCTAGGAGCAGTGGCTGGTTCTGCAACTCAGCCGCAAGCATGGCTTGTTCCTCAGATGCATCACGGCTAATGAGATGGAACGGTCTCTTGACCTTTGGCGATGCATCTATGACGATTGCGCCATATAGACCGTCCATCAGCTGGCCTTTGGAGTGGGCGTGGTAGAAGAAGGTCCCGGCCTCCTCTGCCGCCCATCGGTAGAGATAAGAGGCCCCAGGGTGGATTTGGCGTTGTGTAAGCCCCGGAACGCCGTCACTCCAAGGCGTCGTCCGTTGCGCGATGCCATGAAAGTGCATCGTCGTGTCTTCCCGAAGGTAGTTCCGAACCAAGAACTCGACTTCATCGCCTTGTTCAAGCCGGAGCGTGGGACCCACGAACGTCCCATTGACAAGAATGGCATCCCTTGTGCCCGCACCGATGGCGTCCACCTTCCCAGAGGTGATATGTAATTCGAAGCGGACAGGCTGCCGGGCCGGCGATGGTTCTTTCGCACCGTCTAACTGGAGGAGGTCTGGTCGTTGGCACCAGGTAGGAGACCATATGCGCAAAGCGCACGAAAGAAGGGTCATAAGCTGCATGATTGACGGGTCTCAGAAACGAAGCTCCAGAAGTCATCGAGCAAGATTAGCTCGCCACGTGGAAAGTTGGTGATTCAGGCGATGAAGGGATGGAATTTGGAATAAGCTCCCAGGTGCACGCTCATCATAGGGATTAGAGTGGTTAAGGGGCGAGCTCTGCGAGACTTTGGGGCGCCGTGACAGTAGTGACGGCGGCAATCAAACACCGATCAGTGCGTTCCGGCAATCTGCCCACACCCTATCTTCCCCACGAGCTTAATCGTAGCAATAACCAGACAGCGCTGATCGACTTGGCAACACACCTCTTATTACAGGTAGAGATTCAGCTTCTTCCAATATCAATATTCAGATGCCACATCTTTCGCAGTATCTTTCGTTGTTCGCTGCTGGTTATGTCATCAATGCATTCACGAATTCTTTCAGCTCTCGCCATCGTCCCCTGCTTGGTAGCCGGGGAGTCGCTGAAACATGTCCTCGCTAGTCACGGGTCACTTACCGTGCTTCACGACCTCCTCATGGAGCTGAACCTGATGAGCACATTCGAAGCGGCTAAGAACTCGACACTTTTGGCGATGAATGACGATGCTTTCGAATACCTCGCGAACTGGGGGATGAACCTCAGCTCGATAGATCCAGAGCTTGCAAGAGGGATCATGAAGTATCATTTCCTAGATGGTTTTTACACTTCAACGAATCCCCTGTTGGGAATGGAGACGCAGCTGATTCATTCCGTTCTCCGTCCGCCTATTCTCACAAACGTTTCGGACGGTGCCGTGGTCAAGCTGACGGCTGCCGATAATGAAAACCCATTTCGGGTAGAATGCGGGATCCAGAAGGTTTTGCCTATCGTCGAAGCGGACATCTACTACGACTCGGGCGTCTTGCACACCATCAGCGAGAATCTCGTCCTTCCGCACAATCTGTCAGAAACGACAAACTTGGGAAATCTTGAAAAGTTCTGGAGCCTCGTCCAAAAGGCTCAAATGAGCGAGGTTTTGGAATCCTTCCGAGACACGACGATTATGTTGCCAAGCAATGAAGCGATGGAGAAATACAAATTTCATCTTGAATCTCTCGGCCCAGCGGACCTCCAGACTACCATCAACAACCACGTAATCCCGAACCGTGTTTTGTACCACACGAACTTCGGAGCAGGCAGCGAGGAGGTCACAGCAGTGAGCGGACTTAAGCTCAAGTTAAGCCGTGACGCCGTGGGCCGCCTCTTTGTCAACCATGCGCAAGTTCTGAAGCAGGACGTGCTCATCTACGGCGGGGTTTCACACGTGTTGGACAACGTGCTTCTAGTAAATCAAAGTATGTGTCTGACGTGAAAGGAAATCTAGACAATCTAACTGACTTGTCCAATAGGCTCTGGCTTGAATGTCAAAAGCGATGGTCTGTGGCAGTATGTGGCATCCTTGCGATGGTACGAATATCCTTGGAAGAACACGACAGAAGTCATTTTTGGGGCGGCTTTGCTGTTTATATTTGGTGCTCTCGTTATCCAAAAGGTCGTTCGGTGGAAGACTTCCTCGAATCAACGAGACTTTGGCGGTTGCATCACGAAGGAAGGTGTAGTTCGGGAAACACAGTTTAGGTCTTCTGTTGTGTATTACTATGTGCCAGTTTAGGCAACAATTAAATCCAGAGCAATAAAAAACACTCAAAATTGCCTTTAATCTCAGGCAATATTTCCTTGAGTTGACTAGCATATGACCACAGGTGGCCGTTGACTTCAGCGGCTGCATTCATATTGTTTGTCTATTCCAGTACTTTTTTCCCAGAAGGTGTCCCTGATGCTGAGATTCTCTCACATGCACGGATCCCGCCAGCCGTGATAGAGACTAGCCTGTGTGAGAGGAACCACCTGTCAGTGATACAAGAGACAGCAGTTATTGCAAACATGTTTGGAGACTTGGGTGCTTCGACATCTAGATTGGGACCCCGCTACTCGGATACCTGTGCAATCCTATTGGCTGAAAGATGAGATGATGCCCCTTTCAGGCGCCTATTTTGAGGAGTGACCAATCACGCGATCTTCATCCGTTTGCCAACTTTGAAAGATCCATCAGCTTAGCAACAGGATGAATAAGGTTCTTGCCGAAGGCTTGCTAAGATTTGGATCACGGCGAAAGCATTTGTCGCTCGGCAACCAGTCTCCGAAAGACTTTCCTGCCCAACTGCTTACCTACTCCGATACTCGGCAATCTCTTGGCCACTCACGACGGGATGAAAGGCTTCCCAAGATGACGGTAATCATTCGCCGAAATCTGTGATGTGAAGGCTCTTGAAGAGAATTGAAGGAGTCTGTGACTTGCGGCTAGCAGCAATAGGCAACACAAATCTGAGCAGGGATGGCTTTGAGGGAGGTGAGCTCGGGAACCCGAGTGCAGTAGAGACATCGATGTAGCCCATCCTGATCCTCGTCCAGCGGTGAACCGTAATAAGCCTTTGGCAAGGGCGCCATCAAGCATAGCCGTCAACGAGACTTTTTCCTGGAGAGTAAATTTGAAGAAGTGCCGCGTCGGCGAAGAAGACAGAAGGCAGTCTCCGATCACTTCTGACTGATGCCGCATCTGACGCATCGCATGCACCAGGCCCTGCTCTAGGTTGACTTAAGCCGCCTTTCACTGTGAGCAGGGCGAATTCATTTTACTCTGCAGAATATTCCTATGTGCCTTTGCTTGATTATACAGAATTATTTTTGATTGAAGTCAAGATGACGTCAACCCAACAGCCTGTTCCTGAAGATGTGGTCACTCTCGAAGAGGAAGTCGAGTTTGAAACTCGCCTCTTCGAGAAGATCCAAGGAGATGATTTCATCGTGGAGTGGAATGGCCCCGACGACAAAGGCAATGCCCAAAATCTTCCCAAACCGCGAAAGTGGCTCATCACCTGGGTCCTTGCCCTGTATGTGTTGTCGACAACCTTCTCGTCATCTGTCTTCAGCGCTGCGTCAGCAGTGACCGCAAAGGAATTCGAGACCACCGTTCAGACTATGGTGTTTGGTGGCACATCGCTGTTCATGCTCGGGTTTGCTGTTGGCCCCATCATCTTTGGGTGAGTGACGTCCTCATGTTCTGATTTTCTCTTTAGTACTGACCAGAGGCCAGGCCACTATCTGAGCGCTATGGGCGAAAGGGTCCCCTGGTTATTGGCTACGTCTCCTTTGCTCTACTCCAGCTTCCGGCAGCCAATGCTCAGAGTCTCTTCGCCATCTTCGTGTCTCGCTTTCTCCAGGGAGTCTTTGGTGCAGCACCTTCTGCGATCTTGAGCGGCACTCTGGCCGACATCTGGACACCAAAGCAGAGAGGTTTCGCGATGCCGTGCACTGGAACCTTCCTCATGATTGGACCGGTGATTGGACCAATGACTGGTTCTGTCATCGTCCAGAGCTACTTAGGCTGGCGTTGGATATTCAACTTCACCGCCATAGTTACTCTTGCCATTGCGGCGATCACGTATCCCCTCTTGAGTGAGACCTATTCGCCGGTTCTCTTGGCAAAGAGGGCAAGGCGCATGCGTCATATGACACGCAACTGGGCGCTCAGGGCAAGATCTGAGGAACAGGACCGAAACCTCAAGGATGTTGTAGAGAGTTGTCTTTCTCGGCCGGCGAAGATGCTTGTCTTGGAGCCCATTCTTCTTCTGATGTCCACCTACATCTCCGTGGTTTTTGGTAGGTTATCAGCTGCTATTTGCTGGTCGTTGCTCTGGCTAACCATTCATTGATAGGCCTGATGTACATTTTCTTCCTTGCATACCCCATGTCATTCGCCAATGAACGGCACTGGGACTCTACCTCGGCGGGCCTTCCCCTTCTTTCCATCCTGCTTGGAACCGTCATCGGGGGTGCTCTCATCATCCTCACGGTCAATACCAACCTGTCCCCAGATCCCAAGGCTGGCAGGCCGCAGGAGAATAGGCTCCTCCTCATGATGCTTGGCTCCGTCTGCCTGCCGGTCGGAATGTTCTGGTTCGCCGCGACAAGCTCGCCGGAGACTAGTGCAACGCAACAGATCACTGCAGGTGTGCCAATTGGCATGGGCATCATTCTCATCAACATGCAAGGAATGAACTACATCGTGGACTGCTACGGACCATTCTCGAACTCTGCAATCTCAGCGAACACTTTCATGCGGTCGCTGTTCGCGTCCGGCTTTCCGGTCTTCGCGTAAGTTCCCTTCTCACCCGAGTCTTGATAGCATTAACATAGGTTGACATATTGCAGGACCTCTCTTTACAGCTCAATCGGAGTCGCTCGCGCGACGTCATTTTTGGGCCTCTTCGGTGTTGTTCTGGCGCCTATTCCGTTTCTGTTCTTCAAGTATGGGGAGGAGATCCGTTCCAGGAGCAAGTGGGCGCCCTATTAGTTACCTGCGTGGGATTATTTAGGGGGTATTCAGGGGGGCTAGGCCTATGAGCACACGAGCATTTTGGACATTTTAGAATGGGTATCGTAAGTCCATAAGCAAGGGAATAGCTATATTGAACACATTTGAATCAACTCCAATTAAGACCTGGTTTCTTGAGCGATGAAGTCTTGTCCTTATGTTTGTTTGCCTCCCAGCGTAGTTATTTCTCAGATAGGTACGCATTCACAAGCAACTAGACCATCTGCCAACCTCTCGCTCTTATCATGGCTACCTGTGAGCGACAAGCTCAACAGTTGCTTGTCTCACGTACAAAAAAAGACTGAAATTAGCTATGGTCCTAAATCATTTGCATGAAGTAGATCAGAGAATAGCCCGTCGTATCAACAGAACTCTGTCCCTAAGACCTATCTCATTGAAAGACTGGAACCCTAACCTGCGTAGAACTGAGCGATGCATACCGCAGGAACACAACAAGCCGAACCACGAAGGAAATACAAAAGGAACCTCACATGGGAAATAAATGATTGATCTGTACCATTTGCTCAATTTGGATCTACCTAAGCTATGTGTGCAACATGTTCCAACCTCACCAGACCCTGTCCATGTTCGTGCACTTATTCGCAGCTCTCGTCTTCCCAGAAGACGAAAAACCTGGTCTCGATACTGCGACGAGCAGGGCCAATGTCGTCAGGGGTTGGGAAAGCGCTATGCGGCGTACGGCGAGCTCTTCCGTCCTTCTTCGAATCAAAGATCTTGATCAAGATGACATCGTCTCTGGTCATGCCGCTCCTGAACCACCACTTGTGCTGAGTTGAGCTCTCAGGCGGGGCAATTTGCCACATGTGGTTCTCTGTGGGCTTTCGCGGCCACTGGAAAGGAACGCAGTGCATCGTGTCATGCAGCTCGTCGTCCCGCACTGACCTGGCATCGCAGAGCGCCAGGGGCTCGCGGTGGACCTGCTCCCAGGGTCTCCAGAGGTTGATGATGGCCCAGCGGTGCTTGCCATCGTGCTTGGCGCCCTCACCAGGGGGCATGTCGTCGTACAGGCGGCGGATGGCACCGAGGTCTGACTGATCAATGTGCACGAATCTTGCGGAAAGGAGGCCGCCGTCAGTCATGGCCATGTCGGGCTTCTTGGCTTCTTCTTCAGGGTCGGTCTTCTCCCATTGGCGTTGGCGGATGATGTGGGAGATCAAGCGGACGTCAGAAGCTCCGGTGCTGTACGAAGATTAGCGAAGACGCACAGGAGAAAACGCCGCCAGGGCCGACTTACATCTTTCTCATGAATTCCTCACACTCCGCATTGTAGACCTTGTTGAGGTGCTCGTCGATGGGGCTCCAGGGAAAGTCTTTGTACGAAGTAGGAAAATGTTCGAACTGGAATCCAGTCTTATCAAGACTGAACTCGCTCTCCTTTCCTCTGGCGTTTTGGATGACGACCTCGCGGGGGTCGTACTTGCGTCGCATCTGCGCGAAGGTGCCGCCCCAAATCATCTCGTCTCCGCCCTTTCTGGGGTCGAGGCGGTAGTTGAGCGTCACGGTGTAAGCAGACACGTTATGGTTGTCAATGGCATCGAGCTTGGCGCGCTCTTCAGCCTCCTTTTCCTTGTCAACTTCTGCAGTGGCTTTGTACTCGACGGTGTCGCCGGAGACTGTGAGCTTTCTTTGGATATCGGTGTCCAGGAAGGCAAGCTCGTCCTTCGTGGCATAGTTCAGCTCAAGGGTAGGCATTGTGGTCAGGTTGGGGGCGCTGGGGCGCTGGAAACAGAGAGCTGGACTGAGTAATTTCAAATGGTAACACTACGTCGCAGAAGCTTGCGGTTGTTGGTGACTGACAATAAAGAGGAAGTCTGGCTGGTGAAGAAATGCTCTTTTATCGTCATGCTCGAGCCACGGGTGACCCGATTTGCTAATTGCTGGCGTTGAACCTTGCCCATGACTGTTCTCCGGTGTAGCAGCTGTTTGGCGATTCGACTGGTTCGGTCGGTGACTGGAAGCCGAAGCAGCGTAAGTGAGCATGAGAACAGGGATGAGGACACTTGAGCGGAGTACTGAGTCCCCCAGAGAAGCCGACCTGTGTTGAAGTTTGGCTGCAATCGATCCGCATCATTTAGCATGGATCTCGGTCGTTTGACGTATCAATTTTCTTGTCAATGGAAGCCAACCCATGATGATGGCCAAATAGCCGTCAAGACGTCGTGGCCTTGACAGGGCTTGGTGAAGCCGAAACAACTGGGCTTCTAGGCGAACAGCAGTGCTCCAGCGCCTGGGATGAACCTAGGGCGGTATGTTCGCCGTCATTGACAGAACACCAGATCTTCTTTACATCAAAGTCAACACCCCTCGAACGACAAATGAACGGGATGAGGATGCAAATAGGATCTAGGATTTGAGCAAGCTTATGTAAATTTCATTCAAATAGTCTACGGAACGACTGAAAGCACATCACACTCCCTTCTGGAAATTGTAGTTTTCCACCCAACCAACAATGCACCTGTGCACAAAGACGTCAGCTCAAGGACACCGCCATCGACGCGGGAACCTCTTACCTGCTTCGGCTCATGTCAGCAAAGTTGAAATGATCTGGAATGAACTTTTGCATGAAATCGGGGTCTTCGCGCATTTTCTCAATGCACTCGATGTTCGGGACAATCATAGAGATTACGCTGTCGTAGTCTAGTAACATCGCTTCTGGCGCGTCAGGAAACAAGCGCTTGAAGGCCGCTTTGGAAGTAGAGTCGTTGTGTGTCTAGGGCGTTGCTGGTCAGTTTGTGGAAACCGGGATCACATCTGTAAACGGCACCATACCACACTGTAGGAGACTGCGCCGTACTTCTTGAGAAGAGAAGTAATGATTGGGCTGTTGACGTGCTCAAGGTGGTGGTGATGGCTTTGCTCATCCATGTCTGGCTTCCTGTAGACATAGATGTTGTACGCCAGCAGGCGGTTCGATTGTTCATTGGAGCCCATTCTGGAGATTTGGTGGGTTGAATCAAGAACGTCCACAACGGCAGAATGTCTATGCGAAATAATCGATTACCGCGGGGTCTTCGCGGATGAATGGCAGACAACGTCCGCGATAAGTATTCCGATCGAGAGCGATATTGCTTGGTAGATGGGATGAGCCGCTGGATGGTTTTCACAATAATTAGCGGTGGTATCGGGGATGTGTTTTCCGCTAAAGTTTGCTGTTCACCGGCCTGTCGGCTCTCATTTGGGTACACTGGACAGTGCACAGCGCGTCGGCATTGAACCTCTTCTGTCCCACAAGCCCTGGCCGTCTTGAGCGTGCTTCGCGGACTCGGTCTGGAGCACATTTCAGGGTTCGCCGGCCACGCATTACCGATACACACGGCAGAAGACCAAAGAAAAGATTTCTATATAGTTTAGACAAGAGACTGGTACAATACCATTGGCTCCAAGATGCTTCTTTCATCATCTTCTCTTCGCAAGCTCCGTATCCTCTCTCGCAATTCCCACACCCAAAGAACGATCTCACGATACCCCCGAACGTCTCCAAAAATGCCCGCCATCGCTGATCACAAGGTCGTCGTTATCACAGGCGCCAACAAGGGCCTAGGCTATCAAGCTGTGAAGACACTTCTCGGTTCTGACAAGAAATACCACATCTTCTTGGGAAGCCGTGACTTCGCCAAGGGACAGGAGGCCGCAGACACAGCACGCAAGGAGGTTTCCTCCCTTAGCACTGTCGAGCCTCTGCAGCTCGATGTCGAGAGCGATGAGTCCATCCAGAAGGCCTACGAAACTGTCGAGAGTAAATGCGACAGAGTTGATGTGCTCATCAACAACGCTGGTAAGTCACATCTCCTCCATTTCATTGCGCATTGAACTTTGGCTGAACTCCCTGTGCCCTCTAGGTGTGATGCTTGACCAGCAGATCGAGCGCGGCAACATGACTGCTCGTGAGGTTTACAACAAGTCGTGGGACATCAACGTCACTGGACCTCATGTCATTACGACCACTTTCCTGCCGCTGCTGCTGAAGTCTTCTGACCCCAGACTCATCTTCAACACCAGCGGTGTGTCGTCCTTGGCCAACGCTGCGGACTCGTCCCATTTCACGTACAAGGTGCCCCCTGCTGGAGCGCCTAAGCCGGTCGGCACCATCTCTTACAGAGCTGCGAAGGCTGGGTTGAACATGGTCATGCTGGAGTGGGTGAGGATGTTGACGAACGATGGGGTAAAGGTCTGGTGTGTTGCCCCTGGTTTCTTTGCAACGGATATTGGAGAGGGCAACCCGGAGTCAATGAGGAAAATGGGTGCGGGCGATCCCGCTGGTGGTGGCAAGGCGCTCGTCGATGTTGTTGAGGGCAAGAGGGACGCGGATGTTGGCAAGGTCTGCAACATGGCGGTATACGGCACACCTGTGCAGGCATGGTAAAAAGCAGAATTGCATAGTCTGGTTAGAAATAAATGCATGTTCGTCACCATAAGCATCCCATTCTATTACTGCAATTTGGCATCCATAGTGGTTGGGCTGGATCAAGCCAACGTGTCGGCGGAATCCAGAAGCTACGCGGTTCGGATCTGCAACCTTGTTCTTGGTTTAGTAGCGATTTATGTGAAGATGCCTTGGTGCTCTGTGATATCCATACAATCTTTACGTTTGTGATGCACATGGCCGAGGAAGTCAAATTTTCTCGTTATGTGAATGTCATCATAGTTGAGCATCTTGTTTCATTTACACATTCCTTGAGTATGATGCCATTTTCACGGGATACCAATGCAGGCTCGTGTTCGTTGTGAGCTCAGGGCCACAGTCTTGCATCACGGTATCACCCGCCTATGGAAGGTCATTCATCAAATGAAGTAGGGCTTAATATCATTCTGTTTCATAGCTCAAGAGAATGTGATACGTCTTGAACAAGCTATTCCTTTTCCTGGTCCTCCCAGAAAACAAGACATCTGATCTCAATGCTCTCACGAGGTGGACCGAAGTCATTCGGGGTTTGAATTGCAGTGTGCGGTGTCCGCCTCGCCCTTCCATCCAACTTTGAGTCGAAGCACTTGATCAATAGCGCCTCGTCTGTCGTCATATTGCTAGCATAGTACCACTTATGCTTGGGGCTTGCCTTCATATGCCACTGCTCGTTGTCTTTGTTCATGGTGTTGGGGGGCTTTCCAATTACAATGCGGGTAGTGACGGGAACAAGGTCAGACTCGTCAACACTGCGGGCGTCGCAGACAGCGAGAGGCTCACGGTTGACAGGCTTGAGAGGCTGCCACACATTGATAATACCCCAACGGTTATGTGTCTTCGCACGAAGCATCTCTGCTTCGGGAAGTCTGTCAAGGATGATTTGAGCCCCGTCGTAGGATTGATCTAGACTCCGTCAATTGAGGTATGTCTTCTCTGATTGGCACATGATATGCTTACCGACGTGGACAAACATTGCAGGCGGTTGCATGTTCAGCATTGCATCGTCGGGCACATCATCCTCAATGTTGACAATCTTTTGGTGGCTGTCACGGCGAATCACATGAGGAGCGAATGGGTGGACGTATGTCGCTCCCGTGCTGTGTTGGGCCTCAGCAAGGAGTTTTCTGAAGGTACGTTTGGGCGCTGTACTTACTGTCGCTTTAGAAGATCTTGGACATCTTTCTGCAGTTGAGAAGGCAGTCCAAATCGATAGTCGCCGTCCCACTGCTTCTCTTGGATCGTGCTCTCAACCCACTGGAAGCCGTGGGTGTCAAGCTTGAAGTCGTCTTCACAAGTACGACTGTCGGTCACGTTGACGAGTTGCTCGTCATACTTCGCTCTCTGGAAGCCTACTGTAGCGATGTATTGGACTGGATACTTTTCACCCTTGGCTGGTGGCAGGTGACAGTTGACGTAGGCCTGCACAGACTCTGGGGCTTTCGTGACGTGTGGCATCGTTGGTTTTTGGAAGTATCTCAAAGTGAAAGATAGACTACAGAGCTAGGGCACAGGATAAAGGTCCGGGAATGGCGATGATGAAGTTTCAATATATGGAGCTTAAACCGAAGACATTCGTCGGTGATTGTAGCCTCTTTTACCGCGAGGCACTCAACTTGTCGGCTTCTGCTGCGCTGCTGTACCACCACGGCGGGATGATAGTTCATAAGCGGCGAAACTTCAGTACCGGTCTATCCTAAACCTAAGTATTTACCTTACTTTATTCATTGTCGCTTATTAACATTCACAGTATCAGTGTCGGTAGAGAACCTTTGAAAGCGACCAACAAGTGCGTAGAATCGGCTGATCTAGAGGAAGCCGATAAAAGTGTTCGGGCAGACAACAGGGCTTCTGGGTGCGTCTTGTCACGGTGACCTTTCGCCGGTTGCCGCGCAAAACGTTGACAGTACGGCTGCAGAAGCCACCATGAGCGCTGGACAGCGGAAGCAGACTGCCGTTCAGAGCTAGAAACCCCCCCTGGTGATTTGCTTCCAGCAGAAGCCGGCCCTCGCTGTCGCCGTCTTCCCCATCCCGAGTCAGTAGAATAGCGATCAGACGTCTGAAACTTTCCATCAGCTGGCTGGACCTCAGGCGCTCTGGTCGCTAGTCGCCGAGGAATTTGGCGTGTTTACCGGTGCTCAGTGCTCTGAACAATGCTTTAGCTGTGAATCGGAACTGGGGCAAACTGTAATTAATATGCTCAAATGACCCGATTTACCTATTGCACAGCACCATTGACTGCAGACTTACTGTAACAATCGTTATCTGTGATGAAAGATCACGATTTCATAGCCTCCAGATCTCGATGTGCGCTTTTGCAAGGGGAATGCTATTCCCATCGCATTCCCCGGTGTCCAGAACAATCCCCTACTAATGTCTGTAAACGTTAAAATCGTGCTTGAATTCGGACTTGAGTACAATGCCGTCCAAGTCAAGACGCCAATATCTAAACATCGACCTGCCTTCTTGAAACTTCTTGGCTTTCAAGCTTTGTCTAATCAGGCGACAATATTGTTGTTTACAGTCATCTTCAACACACAATCGTCACAATGCACTACGCTCCTAACCTTCCGCAAATTGCCAACCGGTATGCGTCTGCTCATGCCAATCCTCAGGGCGCTGGCGATGCGCGCCCCACGGCCTTCCAAATCATCCAAGATGAGGGCCTCGTCGGCAAGCTACGCCACAAGGTAGCATTGGTAACTGGAGGGACCAACGGCATTGGTCTTGAGCTTGTACGCACCTTGGCAAAGACGGGCATGCGAGTCTTCTTTACGGCCCGCGATCCTGTCAAAGGCCAAAAGGTGAAGGAGAAGCTTCAGAGCGAGGACGCTCTCTTTAAGCTTGAGGTTGTCGAGATGGAACTCAAGAGCTTAGAAAGTGTCAAGGCTGGCGCGGAGTTCGTCTTGAGCAAGACCGACAGACTTGACGTCCTCATGAACAATGCGGGTACGTATTTCATCGGCGCCATGGAAACTCGAGGCTTCCGGACATCATCACTAACATATGCCGATGACATCAGGTATTGCGGCGACGCCTCACGGGTTCACGAAGGAAGGCTTCGAACAACAATTCGGTGTCAACCACGTGGCGCATTTCTACTTGTTTCAGCTTCTCAAGCCGCTACTTCTGAACACCGCAGCAACTCATGGTGTGAACGTTCGCATCGTTTCGACGGCTAGCACTTCGCACACAGCGTCGACGGTGCTCCCCGAGAACAACTACGACACCGCCAACCCCAACGGCAAGGGCTATGAGCCCGGTGTGTCCTATGCCCACTCCAACACAGCCAAGATCTGGTTCTGCAACGAGCTGGAGCGGCGCTATGGTTCCAAGGGTCTGCATGCAATTAGCATTCAGCCGGGCGGGTTTACCAGTGGGCTTATGGACTCTTCTGAAGAGCACAGTAAGGTGATGCTGAACAAGATGATCCAAATGCCACACATCAAGAAGATTTGGAAGAGCGTCGAGCAAGGCGCGGCTACGAACACACTTGCAGCTGTCGGCAAAGAGTTTGATGGTGTCGGAGGAATCTATATGGAGGACTGCGGTGTGAGCAAGCCTATCCCGGATGATCTGCATTGGGCAGGCTACGGTTTCAAGTCCTGGGCGTTTGATGAGGCAGGCGAGAAGAAACTGTGGATAGATTCTCTGAAAATGGTTGGGTTGGAAGACGACCAGTAGATTGACGTGTTGGGTCTGTAGCTCTTAGATTGACAATAGAAACCTTCTTCTCCAAATTCACGACGCCATGTACTTCCATCTTGACAAAATTTGAGTAATCATTGTGAGATTCTTCGATAGATTAGAAGACGTCTTGCCTGCATTGTTGTAGCTATGATAGAGCAATAGTTGACCTGAGTTGAACATGACAATTCTTAAGCCTTTGACATATGACAGATTTATCTGCATCGCTGATGAACCGCTGATGATCCATGGAGCAGGTAAGCAGGATTTTACTAGATCAACAGGAAAAGCTGCCACCACTTAATCCGTCTGAACGTCTGCATCTGAACATTAATGGGCATCAAACCCTCCATCCTCAACTTTTTGAGGCAGACCATTCGACGATAGCCAATGGCCGCGTACAGTGTTTCTCCAGTAACGTAAACACTGTCCGGCAACCGTCGCGAAATGGTAGCCGCAGCTCCTCCCGTGCATGCTTCCGAGATCGATCGGATCTTCCGCCCACAGATCGATGATGTACGTGTCATGCAGTTTTGACAGCAGTCAGTTAAATCTGTAGGCCTTCTCTAAAAGGTATTCTTCCATGTCCATGAGATTAGTATTGCTCTTTGATTCGTTGATTATTGCAGACCAATCACATTCATTCTTCTAGTTTCGATCCTCGTTGTCCGCAGTATCCAGCCATGCCTCGTTCTACAAAGTCATCTGGCTCGTACGAGTTGCACGATCGCTCGAAAGAAGCCTCTTCCGTAGCACTACCATACGAAAATGGCGTATCCTCCTCGGAACAGGTTGGAAATATCGACAAGGCCGATAAAGATGCCTCGAAAACACAAGCCGGTCCTGGTGGCTGGGGAGAGGATCTTGACGAGTCACAATATCCATCTGGGCTTCAGTTTGCACTCATCATCTTCTCCTTATTCATTTCTGTCTTTATCGTTGCCGTCAGTCAAACTGTCCTCGCTACGGCAATCCCGACCATTACGAGCGCGTTCAACAGTTTCGATGACATCGCATGGTACAGCACGGGCGAGCAGATCACCGCCGTAGCGATGCAACTTCCTTTCGGCCGGGCATACACATTGGCAAACAACAAGTGGACATTTCTGGTATCTGTCATTATCTATCTTGCCGGCAGCGCTATCTGTGGGTTCGCGCCTGTGTCCGTCGTTCTGATCATCGGAAGAGTCATCCAGGGCGTGGGTATGGCTGGCGTCTTCGGGGGCTCGTTCATCGTCCTGGCCCGCGTAACTCCGCTCAGGAAGCGGAGCTTGTTCGCTGGTCTCTTCGGGGCAGCATATGCCATTGCAAGTGTTATTGGTCCAATTATGGGTATGCGTCTTCCTTTCTTGGTGGCTCGATATTATCCCATGCTAACTTGCTGTCTGCCAGGCGGTGCAATGACTACTGGAGCCTCTTGGAGATGGTGCTTCTGGTGTGAGTTTCAAACATCAACAACATACCTTCAGAAACACATTGCTAACGTTCTTAGTCAACCTTCCCATCGGTGCGGTGGTGATTCCGACAATCATCTTCTGTCTGCCTGATTCCTTGGGACGAACATCTGCAACTCTGAAGGACATGACATGGAAAGAGATAATCATGAAGTTCGATCCGCTGGGGACTGGCTTACTCCTGACGTCTCTGGTCTGCCTCATGCTGGCCTTGCAGTGGGGCGGAGGTGAGTACGCTTGGAGCGATGGTCGTGTCATCGCCGTCTTGGTGGTTTTCGCGGTGACTATCCTGCCTTGGATGGCCCTACAATACTTCCAAGGTGATGATGCTACCGTACCTCTAAGCATTTTGAAGCAGCGGTCAGTCGCAGGCTCCAACCTGTACCTGCTCTTCCTAAACGGAGCTTTCGGTGTCTTCATCTTCTTCCTTCCCGTCTGGTTTGTTGCCTTTGAGCATCCAGCATATTCGTTTTACTGACACTATGCAGGTTCCAGTCTATCAATGGCGACAGTGCCCAGTCATCTGGCTTCAAGCAGATAGCGTTGTGTATCAGCACTGCCATTGCGTCGATCGTCGCCGGCGGAATGGTCGTCGCCCTCGGGTTTTACAACCCCTTCATCATCGTTGGTTCAATGTTGGTCACGGCTGGATCAGCCCTCTACATGGTCATTAAGCCGGATGCTACTCTCGGAATGGTGTAAGTGTTTCCGAGTGGTGTTTGCGGATTAAATCCGAAATAATAGGCTAATGAGCTGTATAGGATTGGCGCTCAGATTCTCGTTGGCGCGGGTGTTGGAGTTGGTGCAGAGCAAGCAAACGTTGCCGTCCAGACTGTGTTGCCAAGCGAGAAGATTGCCAAGGGCACAAGTCTCACGCTCTTCACCAGATTACTAGGCGTTGCGTTGTCCGTTCCGGTTGCTCAGAGCGTCATCCAACAAGAGCTCGTCAAGGCACTTGGCCCGTCTCTCGCTGGTGTTGTCTACGGGGACGGCGGTGCTCCAGACCTGCGCATGAAGCTGCAAACGATGTTTGGAGACAATACACCCGCCTTCCAAAGCGCTCTCAATGGAGTAAACTACGCCATCACGAGAACATTTATGCTGGCTATGATATTGGCTGCCATATCGTTCCCATTCGGGCTTCTCGTGGAATGGAAGAGTGTCAAAAAGGAGAAGAGAGCCGAGGAGGACCAGAAGGAAAGAGGAGGCAACCCAAAGACCAACTAAAGTCCCCAAAATATCTGTACAGTAGACCAGAGCAGTCTCGTTTACCGAGCTTGAGAATGCATGACCACAAGGTCACTTCTGCAATTGTCTGCATCCAATCTGCACAGAGGGCCTCTAGGAGGGGAAATAAACATTAAAAAGAAGCATTTTGGCTTCAATTGTACTGCTCCAGACTTTGCAGGAGATGTTAAATTTGATACGCAATGCATGAGACCACTTTGCGCTGGGCTTTTGTGTTCATTTGACGATCTTCAAATGAAGTTGTCGACTGGTCGCCTCGGGCCACAACGTCTAACCATGAACGTGGAAGACGGCAACAGACCGTTGGGCGTCAGCCAAGGCTACAGCCTCAGTCACGTCATTATCGATGCGCAGACATTCCACCTAGCGTTGCATTCATTCCTGTCGACCGTGTCTTATCTTTCTGGGTCATGCGACTCGTAGGGCTGAAGTGTTGCACATGGTTGGTCACTCACAACCACACCAGCTAACAAAACTGACTCCGCAAGGTACTTTACGCAATGCAAGAATCAACGATTCGATATTCTAAGCGAATAAACTCCAGCGACATTTCTCATTTTCAATTATGAATCTCTAAGAGGGAGAGCACTCTTGACTTGCATCCATCCATGGATGTTGATCAAGAATCCATCGACCGAGCTGCATCATCCTGGAGATGGCATGGTGAACGGTAATCCCATAGCCAAACAGGTACGGCCAATCAAGACGTCAGAGGCAGTTATTTCATTGGCCTTGTGATACCGGGCACTTTTTTTTGAAGATTCCGGTCAATCGGGAACCGTCAAACTTTCATGTCGAGTCAATGTTTGCGACCGGGAAAAGGCGTCGGCTTCCATTCACCGCGAAAATCTGCCAAGCCGGCCAAAGGTGCGAAACCTCTCAGAGGCCAATCACGTCTGAGCTTAAGGTGGTATCTCCGTCGGCCTCCGCTGTGCTTGAAAGATGATGACCTCGGAGCTTGAGGAGCGACACCATGCCAGAATTGTCGTAAAACAATGGTTAACCTCGCGTAGTTGGTGTTCATCTCGAAGTACCTTGGGGCATTCTGGTCTTTAGTCTTTACAGCACAGTCCATTCTCAGCGAGTTGCCCCATAATCATCTGAGCATATTTTCGCTTTCGCGATGATTTCGTCATTCAGGAAACTCCTCGTACCTATCCTAGCGGCTATGCATATGCAGGTGTGCATAGCCGATGAGGTGGGGGAAGCAGGCCACGGTCTCATCGGCTATGGCATCACAATGTACCAAGTGAGCATGATTCAACCTCAAGAGTGATACCCAGAACTGACGGCACTTAGCCCCTCTGCGCCTACTCGTGCCGCGTTGTGCTCTCCGGCAGCGCACTGAATTGCAGCACGATGGGTATCGAGGGTGGCCTGCCGATGCCTCGAACCTCCCCTGAGTGCTTCGCGACTGATGATGCCTTCCTAACATCCATGGCCCTTTGCCTGCAATCGGTGGGTCACATCTTTTGCGAGTCAGATAGCGAGGATTGTACTGAGTTGTAGTAGCGCTGTACTGATCTTCCTGCATGGAAGATTGAGAAGTATTGGCACAAGACTGAAGCGAGTATCCGAAATAGTCACAGACGGCTTGATGAACCTGGAGTTCATGTTGTTGCGAAACCTCCTGTTCCAAAGTGGACATACCAACAGGCCCTCGCACAGGTTCAGGGCAACGTCACCTCGACGTTGGCATATGGAGAACCCCTTAATCGGACAGCTCTGGTTCCCGACTTCCAGTATCAGCTGCAGTATGACACAATGGAAATGTTTGAGAGGATGGAAACCCACCATGAGAAATATGGGTATGTCGTCTCCGTTGGATTCGAGAAAAGCTTTACTTACATGGTTCCAGATTGGTGCTCATTGCTCTGGGCGCCATTGTCCCCATTGCAAGCTCCTGGCTTCGCTTCCTACCATTGCCCAAGCTTTTCAAAGCCAAAGTCAGCGCCGCTATTATAGATCCGCCCTTGTTCGGCAGCCGCCACCAAGCGCCCTACTTCAACATGTTCATCATGCCAACTCGTGGCCAGGCGATGCTCATCGCGTATATCGTGGTCCTAAACTTCGTACTCAGTGGAGTGGACATCCAGTCGGCTCAGCCCAATGCGTGGTGGTGGGACAACCAGTTACAGGAAGTCCTTACCTCTGTCGCCAACCGCACTGGTGTCCTGAGCTTTGCGAATGTACCATTGCTCATTCTGTATGCCGGCAGAAACAACTTTCTGTACTGGTTGACAGACTGGACACAGTCGACATTCATGGTCATGCATCGTTGGACTGCATACCTGTGTACCCTTCAAGCTATCATGCACTCTATCATATGGCTTCGCATATATGTCGTCTTAGGATGGCATGATAGCGAATCCAAGCTTGCTTACTGGGTGTGGGGCATCATCGCAACGCTTGCGATGAGCCTGCTACTCCCAGCGTCAGCCATTCCCTTCCGTGCCAAGATGTACGAGATGTTCTTCTTTTGGCACATCGTACTTGCTGTCTTCTCGGTGGTAGGTTGCTACCTGCATATTATATACCGCTTCAACCATCAATGGGGATACGAGATTTGGATGTACATCGCCATAGCAGTCTGGGGATTCGACCGCGTTGCCAGGCTTGCCAGGATGACCAGAAATGGCTGGCGGCAAGCCGTTGTCACAGTCATTGACGACGAATACGTCCAAGTTGATATAGAAGGGGCAAAGGGATACGGACACGCCTATCTCTACTTCCCGACGCTAACGTGGAGAATTTGGGAAAGTCATCCCTTCTCCATCATGGGAACTAGAGTGAGATCTGCGGATCCTCCGCGATCATCCTCGGGAAGCTCAACCGAGAAGTCACTGGGGTCGACATCCAAGCTTTCCAGCACAACAGCCGCCGATGTGGTCATCATCCACGAACCGCCTCATGTTGGCCTTTCCTTCTTAATCCGGACCTTTGACGGCACCACAGGCATGCTTCGCCACAAAACCCGACTCCCCGTTCTCGTCGAAGCAGACTATCTGCCGTACCCCGACTTAACCAAGTATCAAACTCTTATATGCATCGTTGGAGGTGTCGCAATCACAGCTGTAGCACCAGCTTTACGTGTCTACCCAGGACACGCCAAGGTGTACTGGTCATGCAGGAGTCCTGGTCTGGTCGAAATCGTTGATCTTGATCGTATTGACACGGACATCCTGGTAGGCGAGAGGTTCAAGTTGCGCAATGTTCTGGAAGAAGAGATTGCAAAAGCCAAGGGAGATACGGCCGTCGTCGTGGGTGGTCCCGCAGCTATGACTGACGAAGTGCGGTGCGTTGTCAGCGAACTGGCAGGCAAAGCACCGAGCCCAGTGACTTTGATTGATGAAACCTACTACTGGTAGACCAGGATCTCCTGCGCTCTCAGCCCTCATCTGCATAGTTAGATAACAATACCCATATTGGCGTAACCTTATACATCGGATCAAGGTCCAATAATCTGAATCCGGTATATTTCCTTGTGCATTGTAGGCCTGTGATCACATCTACGTTACAGCTTGCACAATAAGGAAAATACCTTCAATAACATATATCGGTGAGAAATCTGCCGCGTCTCTCATATCACATGGAATACGGGGTGATGAGAATACCGGATTCTATATTGAAAAGAGACTCGACCAGGATTCGGCGATCTTGTTCAAAACCAAAAAGCGTTTTATTTTGCAGACGAACATAAGTCAAAATAAGGAACGGTTACCAAACACCTTGCCGCCATAATATCTACTCCTTGCACCCTGTGTTTCACTTCAAACGCTTCCCTCCAGACTCATTGTGTGAGGACGGGAGTGACTACTTCCTTACGAAATAGGACAGGTTTCGGGATGGCCCATCTGTTCTTCATCTGATGTCCGTAACCTGTAAACACGCTCTTTCTTCGAGGCCTCACTTGTTAGTTGGTAAGCCTGATCAATGGCGGCTCTCACTTCATCTGTGAATATGACCCGTTTTCCGTGCTTTTCTAGAAGCTTTGGAAACTTCAATCTCGAATCTTCGCGTGATTTCCTCCAAACCAGTAGGAATATTTGAGGCGTTACAACAATTGATGGCTGATGGTCTAGAAGGAGTTCAAGGGTGTCAACTGGCGAAGAGGAGTGCTTCAGAGACTGCAATACGATCTTGTCGCTGACTTGAATGCTGGGGTCGTGCTTCACGAGAAGACGTAGGATTTCTTGCCCCTGCCAATGTGCCGAGGTGATTATTTTGTTCAGAGTGTCCTCGGAGATTCCGGCCACAGGTCTGAAGTGGCTGAGAAATATTTCCAAGATGGCTGCAGAGTCTACTGCTTGCAGCATGTCTTGGGTGACGCACAGGTCTGGGTTTCGCTTGAATAACTCTGCCAAGACACCTTTTTTGGTCTCGCCTCCATAGTCTTTCAGTTCCAAGGCTCGCAGCAGGATCTCTTGGGTAGCTGGAGCTGCGCTGTCGAACTTGAGTAAGAGCGCCATGCATGCGACGTTCTCCTGCGCCAGAAGCACGTCTTTTGTTACCTTGCTCATAGGGGTGCAATCGAGCAGTGCTTTAAGGGCCTGTTCGCTCGAGCCACATTTGAGCATTCGGTCAGTCACCCCGATCCCACCCATGCGGGGCATGAGAAGCTTGATTGTATCCGCAACAGCATACGACCGGGAAGTGAGGATGTGACACATGGTATCTTCATGAAACGCCGCGCTCTTGTCAAGATCCAATAGTTGACGAACAGTTTTCTTTGAATCCAGTGTTCCGAGCTGAGATGCAGCGACAATATCTTGGTCAGAGACACGAATTGACTCCGCCATGGAGATGATCACGTCCACAGAGGTTTCTTTTCGATCGCGTCCTGGCCAATATTCAGAACTAAAGTTGCGCAGCGCAATCGTAAGCGGTGTTTCGCCAAGCCGGTTGGCAATAGCAGCATCTAGACCGGATTCCAGTAGCTTGCGGACAGATGCAGCATCATCCACTGCACATGCGTAATGTAAGGGGGTGGAATATTCAGTATGAACATGGCTTGGGGTTGGCGTATGCTTCAAAAGTAACGAGACAATGTCTGCGTTTTTGCCATGGATTGCAGCGAAAACGGGCTTCTCGAAGTATCCGGCCGTAGCGTCAAGGTCGGCGCCATGTAGTATGAGCTTCTCAACCATAGCGCTGCTTCCGAGGAGACAGGCAAGATGCAATGGAGACCCGAGAGGCCGCCCCACGTCAGCAACGTTTGCCCCGTGGTCGATCAGAAATTGCACTATGGCTTCGCACTTGGATAACTGCTGCATAGACTTGTACTGTGAAGTGTAGTTATCCCACCTTCCCAAAACCCAGGTAGGTGATGGTTTTCGCGCTTTGGGGAGGGTGAGGCTGTTGACAATTTTCCGGAGTCTCTCATCTTTCGCAGTACGTAGCGTCGAAACAGCGTATACTTCCAGGGCAGTAATTAATGGCGTGCCATGTTCGGCACTGGTGCACTCTGTGTGGGCTCCAATTTCAAGCAGTACCTGTACTGCCTCAAAATTCAAATTCAGTGCTGCGACTTGCAGCGGCAAATTGCCGTCATCTTCTGTTGGTAGATTGACGTCAATATCACCCTGTTCCAGCATCAACTTGACAGAAGATGCTGATCCCACTGCAGAAACTTTGAGAAACCGATGTGCTGTCGGTGCTGCGAAGCAAAGCAGGACTCGTATGACAGAATCTTTGAGACCTGCGACGGTGAATGCCTCATCAAGAGCTGTCTCTAAAGAGCCTTTGTCGGGAATGCTTTCAATAAGCAGCTCAATCATTTTGGTGCGACCACGCTCGCATGCCAAGGGGAGCATGCTCATAGCCTGAGCTCCTTCTCCGAGTAGTACTCTCACAATGTCGAGGTGATTGTTTTCAATAGCTTTCCTGAAAGCCGAGCTGCTGCTATCATCTGCACCAGCCAGTAGTAAGTGACGCATAATCGAGACCCGACCTTTAGTAGCTGCGATAGTGAGAGGTGTGCCTGATTCATGAACACTGAGTTCGATGTCGGCGCCGTTTTCCAAGAGTACTTTGACCACGTCCAAAGAGCCATTTGCAATGGCTGCATGCATCGGACTCGCATCCTCAGCTTGAAAGTGCATATAACTCCTCCTTTTCTTCCCGTGAACATTCACTGGCGCCCCGGCCTGAATCAACTCCTGAACGATAGCCAAACTTCCATTTCCAGAAGCCATGATAAGGGGATGTTGTCCTTCCTGGGGGTCAATAATTGGGTCTGCCCCTTGGGACAAGAGATGCTTGACAATCTTCACATCCTTGGTTGCAACTCCCAACTGCAGATCAGTCTGTACTCCCGAGTCGCTCTGCGACGATGGGATTTCCATGTCTACCCTAGCTCCGTGTTGGAAAAGGATTTTCACACTCTGCTCGTGACCGGCAACAAGAGAGCCTCTCAAAGGTGTCTTCCACCGGCCTGCTATCAGGTTGACGTTGGCCCCAGCATCCAATAGACTTTGCACTACTTTGTCGTGACCACGCGAGGATGCAGCCTGTAGAGCCGTGCCGTAAAAGTACCCAATACTATTGATGTCCGTACCTCGGGACACGAGGAGATCAACAGCTTTAAGGTCTCCGATAAAAGCAGCCATTTGTAAAACCAGGCCCCATTGGATGTTTGTTGTCCGGACATATGGCATTTGGGCGAGGAAGAAAAGAAGAACTCCCCCACAGCCCTCCGTGAAAAGATACTCCAAAGATGACGTTACGGTAAATTTCCCGTCTGTAGATCGGTACGATCCATGGGTTTGGTTTCCAGTAACATTTCCATGGAAATAGCGGAGAGCCTGTTCTAAGAGACTGTGTTGTTCGTCAAGATGACATGGCACAGTTGCCCCGGCAGTTACAAGCTTTCGCACTATCGACAGGGCCGATAGCTCACGACCAGCCGCTGCGAAAAGTGGATTCTTGTTGTTTGTCGAGCCCAGATGGGAATCACCAAGCGGAGACCGGTCGGGAGAAAAGTTCTTGTCGCGGCCTTCCACGTTTACATCCGCCCCTGCTGAAATAAGGAGATCCACGATATGCTCAGAACCGTGCTTCGCAGCTAGTTGCACCGGGTATACCGTCTGTCCGCCAAGATCGTTAGGATCAGAGCCCTTGTCGAGAAGAAAAGCCAAAGTTTGCTCCTGTTGATCTAGTTCAGCGTGCGGTGGCGAGTGCCTTCCCTGATGCAACCATCCTATATCGTTCCGGTCCCAGTCCGTTTCCGGGTCAAACTTGACCAACCCTCTAATCACGGCTTGAAGAGGTGAAATCGTAGGTATCAAGGTCCCTTTATCCATGTCATTCCGAGGTCCGATGCCGCGATGACGTTGGACCCCTGAAATCCGGCGCCAGAATTTCTCCAGTTTTGTGTCTGCAACTATCCAATGCAGATTTAAGTGTTTGTCGTGTGAAACTGTGTTGACATCAATGCCCAGATCCAGCACCAAGTAGCGAACAACATCTATGTGTCCATTCTCACTGGATTTCACCAGCGCGCGACTCAATGTTGTCATTCCAGAAGGTAGCAGCAGGTGCGGCCAATAGCGAAGAACTAACTTCATGAATGCCGCGGATCCACTAGCCGCCGCTGTCACGAACACATCTTCTGCCGAAACTGAGTTTTGAATTTGCAAAAGAGGCCGGTCTAGGAGCATTTGAGCGACAGCGAGGTTATTATGGAGAGCGCACATATGCAGCCCGCCCTCAACGTCCTTTACTGGCAGCAACTCGTGATCTCCCGTTTCAAGTATGATACTCATCAGCTGAATATCACCCGATTCACAGCTTTTGGAGAAACTTGAGCGTAGCTTCTTTTTGCTCCTGCCTGTTTTCTGATATGTTTCAGCTGCTGTGCAAGTTGTTTCTTGCAACGTGGAACATTCATCTAGCGACAAATGTTGCGAAGCCAATGCGAGTGCGAAGTTAACCACATCAGTTTGATGCGCTGCGTGCCCTTTGTGAACCATGCGCCTGATATGGGCGTGGACTTGCTTCTGAGATTTTGTGGCTTCGATAAGATGTTGAAGGATAGACAATTGGCCAGCCTCCGCCGCTGTCTCCACGGCCAAATCGATCTGATGACTGGATATGCCCAAGGTATCCTTGTGTTCCAAAAGCAATCTGACCATATTCATATGACCTGCGAACGTTGCCGCTTGGAGAGAATCAGGCTTTTTTGCCGCTTGGTCTTGCAGTTGGGAAGTCTGCTGGTTGCTCAAATGCGACGTCTCTGATTCACCGTGCCATTCTCCGATAATTACCTCGAAATCGGTTAGAGGTTTTCGAGCTTTCTGAAAATCGTGGGCCTCTGTACTTTTGTCGTGTTTCTGCGACTTTCCACGACGGCGTTGACTTCTGGGCACTTCTGCCGTCCACAAACACACGTATCGAGGTGGTGGGCTCCTCTTACACATCGCCTCGGACAAGAAGTCTCGTTGGTAAGTGTAGCCTTTTCGGAGCATCAGCGCAATGACGTCTTCATGGCCGCCCGCAGCAGCCGCGTGAAACGCATCCTTCGAGAATCCAGCTTGATGTACGTCTGCCTTTGCATTCAATAACAGCTCTACAGACCGCAGCCGACCATGGTATGCTGCAGCCTGAAGCGCCGATCCGTAGAACCCTGTCTGCTGATTCACTTTGGCACCTTCTTCAATGAGAAGTCTCAGAAGGCTGTCGTGTCCTTTTAGTCCAGCAGCTTGGAGCGCATCGCCTAAAGCACCGGAAGCATTGATGTTTGCCCCTTTGTCCAGCAGAAGACGAACCATTGGTCGGTAGTTGAGCAATGCAGCTGTCCTCAATGGAGACCCAAAGGCCCCTTCAACTTCCACGTCCATCTTCTGATCTAGAAGAAACTCTACTAAGTCCTTATGATTATATAAGGTTGCGACAGCGACAGCATCCGAAGGAATCAAATCGTCGTCTCCGATGTTTCGGCGAAAATATCGCCGAAGAACTTCGAGCTGCCCGCCCTGGATCGCCTTCAACAACCTTTTCCTGAACTTGTCTTTGGTTTCCCGTTTGAGGGTTTCGAATTTGGAGCTTTCAAGTAACTGAACAACTCTGACGAAACCAACCAAGGCAGCACCTTGCATTGCTTCCTCATACTCTTCTTCGTTTGTGATTGCAACACCAAGATCCACAAGATGCACAGCTACATCTTCTTGGCCGCCTCGCAAGGCAGCTTGTAATGCATTCTTGAACTTAGAACCGCACGTCGTGTCGGCTCCAAGTTCCAGGAGCTTTTCGACTACCTGAAAATGCCCATTGAAACATGCCGCATGCAACGGGCTTCCGAACTTCCCGCATTCGACATTGAGTTTGGCACCATATCTCACCAGGGTCGTCACAGTAGGCGTATGCCCAAACGTAGACGCGAGGTAGACAGGCGTATACCCTACCTGGGTCCGTTGATTGGTATCAATAGAATCAATCTGCGACAGACCCATCCTGAGGACATCATCGAGTCCGAAGGTACTCAACACGAAAAGAAACCCGTTTTCGGAATCGGAAATGGTGGATAAAGCGGGTATCATTTCATGGCTTCTTTGGAGAGAAGTGACGATATCACTTATTGTTTCAATCCAAAGTTCGAAGGACAGCGTCGTTAGCCAGTCTTCGTCGAACATAAATGAGATTATGTTTTGTGTGAGACTTGCGTCGTCAGGCGATGGTCCGCTTGTACATAAGTCCTTGGCCATCTTGGAATGAACAGGCCAGTAAATTGCGGCGTAGACGTAAAAGTCGTCGCTTGGTATTGACGTGGCGTTCTCTGAGACTGGTCCACGAGAGCAAGCCTCGATGCAGATAGAAGCCAGGAGATTATGTGCTGTTCTCGAAGAAAAACTCTCGTGGCCTCTGAGGAAGTCCTGAACTGACTGGTGCGAGAACCTTACGACGTTGCACTGAGTATCCAGAAGAACCAAATTATAACAAATATTCATCAGCTGGGCTGCATCCAAGGTTGGATCCTGGCCAGATCCCAGCGCCGCCAAAAGGGCCGGTGGGGTCAGGGGTTCTCTCATGTGCAGTACCCACGACAAGGCCTTCATTGCAAGGCCACGGGCTTTATCCCCGGCTCGCGATATGCGGTCGAGTGAGCTTTGATAAAGCTGGTCTATGCTCTCGGGGAGCCTATCGCGGAGAGCGGAGAGGACATCATCCTCAACTGTTTCACGACATATTCGCTCCATGTAGAGTTTGACCCAGAGAAACCTTTCATCCGTCAGCTTAAACTCTATGCACAGCTTTTTCCAGGGCTGTGGAAAACACTCTTGGAGCAGCAACTCACATCTCACCGGCACCTTCAAGTAGTGCTTCCTCCAAAACCTTGCGGGTGTCGAAGCCGACAACTCCCCCGAGTAGCAATTTGGCTGCCAGCGCGGCGTCAATTTGATGCTTCACAAAAGCCTCCATGTCTTGTCTCGTCGACGCGGGAGTGATTTGGACTTTGAAAGCGGCCGTTGGTATCATGGCGACTCGGTTAGAGCTTCTGCTCGTGACGAAGATCTTCACTACGTTGTCGGCCTGGGAGACTATATCATCGAGGGCCTTGACGAGCGTATATCTATCATCATCATCGATACTATCGAGACCATCGATGATGATTGTGATAGGATCTTCTTCGGCCAGTTCCAGTATAAGTCGCACACAGTCTTTGGTCCGGAGCTTCATCATATCAAACCTACCGGCCGGAGATCGGGCCAGTTGTCGTTCATACTCCGAGCAAAGAAACTGTTTCACCGTCGTCCGACTCGAAGGATCAATGGAAAGTTGAAACAGTATAGTTCTTAAGACATCGTCACACGAACGACGCGCCTTTTCGAACTCGGGGTTCGCGCAGTAGAAATATCCCAAAGGAGACGCAAATGGGTCGTTGCCAGCCGCTGAAATCATGGTATCCACGACCACAGAGCACAAAGTCGATTTGCCCGACCCAGGGATTCCATAGAGATAAAAAAGAGAGGACGAGCTTGAGGTGAGCCACTGGTAATAGTCCTGGTGGTTGAGCAACCATTGGCCGACACCTGCCAGGCGAGATTCGGCAATGAATTGGTGATGGGAGTAATAAGGTGCGACGGATAGCCATGAGGCAATTTCGTTGAATTTGTCTTGGGACAATAACTTAGACGACTGCATGGAAAATCGTTTAAATGTCCCATCGAGAGAGCGAAGTATATCCGCGTCCGCAAGTGTTGTAAGCTGGTTGACTTCATGCTCTCGATCTTGCAATTCCTTTTTTCGGTCTTCCTTGACTGTGCGGAAGGGACTCTTGAGCGCCCGGGCTAGCGAAAGCTCCTGTTAGTCAAAGCCTCGAGACCAGCCGGTGTGAAAAGTCATCAATTGAATGATAAAAAGTACGAATACTTACTGATTGTTCTTTCACTGTAGAACCTCACAGCGTAGCTCAAGTGCGTCAGGATCTCTGCATAAAGGCGGATCAAAGCGCGCTCTACCTCACTTTCTATCTCGGACTGCATCCCGCGCAAGTGGAGCTTCTCGATCATGCGATACCTCGCGAGTCTTCGAGCAATGTCTTCAACTTGAGGTAGGTTAGCTCGTGCTATTATCTCCAGCTGTTGTTTGCTCGAGTACTTACGGTCTGTAGCTACTGCGGAGAATACTTGAACTTCAGACACTGTGGTTTGCAACAAGAACCTAAATGCCGCCCAAGGCAATGCAGCATGAGCAGGGTCATATTGCACTGCCGCATCGCCGGTCTCCTTGAAACGTTGAATCCATCCTGCGATCTTCTCCATTACATCTCTAACGATCACCACGTCGCCGTTGGGCTTTGTGAACTTCCATCTCTTTCGTAGGGCCAAATCCCTCGCTTTTTCGACCTCTTGGAGTACCGCGCTCTGTTCAGGGAAACGATAGTAAGCAAATGATCCAGATGATGGATTCGGAGGCTCGGGGCGATACTAACCAGAACATCACGTCTATTCGTCTTGGACGGACCTAATCCCTTTTGTGTATCAGAATCCAGTAGTTGGAAAGCCTTTTCCCACAAGCTGCCAGGGACATTCCCGATGGACGCCATGGCTGTAGGGCTCCCTGACGTGCAATCACACTTAGATTTCCATGAAAAGTCTACAAAGATGAAGTCGGTTCAAGTCTCGGGTGTCAATGGCCTAACTTGCAGACGCCGATGGATAGATGAAGTAGGAAGCAGGTCAAAATGAGGCTACGAGATGCTGACGCCCAGCTTTGCCTGTCTGGCCTCAGCCGCAGTGACTCCCCGCTTCGCCATGCATTTCGGAGCAATTGATTGGCTACAGGTGACGAATGTCATTCAACTTGAGACACTTTGAGATGTCCAGTGCCAATCGCAGACACATGTAAGCTCAATCACCCCTGCCAGTGGCACAGCTAACAGGTGCGTTTCTGTCTCAACGCAAACGGCGGTCAGGCTGACTGAGAACTTCCTAGGCTGACCGATCGAACTTGGTACTTTTACTTGGAAGCCTTATTCGTACAGTATGCGACAATATCGAGTATTCCTATCCGGCCGGAGACTCATCGCTAATAATCGGGGGAATAAATGCTTATATTGCGTGTCGAGAAATGTATTTTGTTCTGAGAATTCATATCTCTATCGTCCCGGTTGTCCCTGGTATCATCTTTACCTACCACCGGCCCAGAGAGCTTGTAATATCTGCCTCATTAATTAGATATCAAAACTCACAATGTGGTGGAAGCGCGATATGATTCAAAATTTGCCATTGAATCAACGCGGTCGATTGAAGAGTTTAATAGAAGGTTGACACAAGATGCGACAGCTCCTGGATCACAGAGATTTTCGAAAGGGCGGACGCAGATCAGGATGAACAAACACTCTCTCTCTCACAGAAAATAGCACTCGAAATGCTCTCCCCCCTCCTCCCAGAAAGAATTTTCCAGTCCCACCGATCATTACCGCTAATGGGATGGAATTATCCTGCATTTGAAACGTGGGCGTCTCAAAAAGTGGCTTTCTCTTGGAAAGTAGCTGCATGAGCGGTGAATGTCTCGGTGAAGCGGGCAACTCGGCGAAATCAATGGATAAGTGAGGCGGGACACGTCGGTGGCTGTGTGAGTCTGGGCATGTGGTACATGTGGCTTGAGCGGCACAGAATCAGCACGGAATCCGGATATTTCAAGTCGGGGTAAGTTCTTTGATAATCAGATAAGTTTCACAGCTGCGGAGACTCTCCCACACCGTCCTGCGACCGGAACGCATGCCTTGGGTTACTTTCGAGTCTGAAGACAGGTCTATCATCACCGCATCAATGAACAACAAAATTATCGACCTCCCTGGAGGTAAAATATCAGTTGCGTGTGGTGGTCAGCTCATTCGAGCTCGAGGAGTCCGATATGCATCCGCAAGTCGCTTCCAGCGTCCTATCCCTGTCGGCGAATGGAACGATATAAAGGACTGTACCGGTCCATCTCCAATCTGCCCTCAGACTGTGCCTTCCCGGCTGGATTCTGTCACCGGACCCATCACAGCAGGGCGCGGCCAAGATGAAGACTGTCTTCATGTGAGCGTAACTACGACTGTCGATGCGCTTTCGGGCGGACGTGAACTGCCAGTCATGGCGTATCTACACGGAGGGGCTTACGTCTCGGGTGGCGCGGACCTGGATTGTTACCAACCAACTGGCCTAGTGGAGAGAGGTGTCGTCGGCGTCAACATCTCCTATCGACTTGGAGTCTTCGGATTTCAGCCAATCCCAGATATCGCTCCCGCAAATCTTGGGTTGCTGGACCAGGTGGAAGCTCTTCGCTGGATCAAGGAAAACATAGCTGCGTTCGGCGGCGACCCTGACAACGTCACGCTGTTTGGACAATCCGCCGGAGCAGGTTCCATCTATTGTCTTTTGCTTGCAGAAGGGACTGATGGCCTATTTCACAAAGCCATATTACAAAGTGCGCCTCTGGAGATATGGACGCCAGACCGTGAAGAGATGGTTTGGTCGTTGGGCCGCCTTGCCCAAGAAAGACTCGCGACCGATACCAGGCCAAGGAGTTCCCAGGAGATGCTATCTCTACAGACTGAGCTTCTGCTCACTGCTACGGGACAGTTGCCGTTCGGCCCGCTTATGGGGCATGAACCATTACCCAACCATACAGATGTACCTGAGAAGCTCCGCCTCGTAGCGCAGCGAATACCCATCATGCTTGGATACACGAAGAATGAAGGCGTCCCATTCGTCCGAATGAACAAGACCCTGCGTCCTTATATTAATCTGCCTTTGATTGGACAGTTCATCGAGCGACTTGCAGCTTGGTTCGTTTCTGGAAAGGTGTTCATATGGCTCACCGATCGCCTCCACAAGCAATACTTGGAGGCGGAGGGTCAGGCAACACTCTACCGCTTCCAGTGGCACCCTTCACATAGCTCACTGCGGGCGGCCCACTGCATCGAGCTACCGTTCCTCCTTGGTTCATGGGATTCATGGAAATCTGCACCAATGATAGGAGGAGAAGCATCTCAAGACGCTGTGGACGGTTTAGGTGACAGACTCAAAGATATCTGGGTGGAGTTTGCCAACCATGGAAACGACAATACTCAGGGGTTCACAGTCACCGGCGACGAGACAAAATGGAACATTGTGAATCATTGAAGTAGCCTGTTTTCAAATAGCCTCTTCAAACCTTTCCGGTCAGTTGAATATTTCTCATATAAAACTCCATCGTTCAATCTACCCTCCCTAGGAATAGACAGTTGTTTGGCTGGCGGCGCGGCAGCTTGCGTATCTCTGTGAAAGCAACAAGAATCAGTTTACCTCTTGCGACTGTTCTATCAGCCACGAGCCATCTACTTTGGGCTTCACTGGCCTACGAATTTCACGTTATCTTCACAGCTGACCCTCAGTATATAAGTATCCCAACTCACTAGGCACGTCTGGGATGGTTCGACATCACAGGCTTGGCACTGCAGGGGTTGGCTTCGGCACCTTCGAAGCTAGGCAAAAAGCGCCAGTTATTTGAAACTCGTGACGGATAGTTGGGTATCACTTGTCTTGTGTTATCTTGGAGGCTATTTGAAATTGAGAAACTCTACTTATTCGAGACTCTCGTCCAAAATCTAGCCTGCGAAGCTCTCGCTCCATGAGGCGCAGAAAGTCGGCATCCTGAGTATTAACAGGCTCCCGTGGATGCAACCAGCCGACAAATCTCATGACAAAGACTTACTACAACGAGAAAGCGACTCGCAAGGAGGGAGCCACCGGCAATATATAAACATCCTCCGGGTGGTCCAGTGTCTCTCACCCACCAATCAGGGGAACCCCACATCCCCGGCCCTCCGATGCAACCCCGGCTCCAACCCGCCGTCACATTTCTCGGTGCAAGCCACCCGAGATTTCCTGATTCTGCAGTTTTCTTCTTCGATGGCGCCGCCTCGTTACCGACGTTTCAGGGCTACACGTGCCCTCCCTTGACCGCATCCACGCGCTCTCATGTGGTGGCTCCCAATCAATAATCGTCAGCACAACACCAAGACCCGGCATCCTATTCAGGCACTCCGGATGAATGTGTCCCATCGTGGCGCCGCGCGCTATGCGCTCGTGACAGATGTCGCCCACAGGGAAGCAAGGGACAACGCGACAGCCCGCGGGGAAATGGCACGTTTACCCTGCTTATTGGTGCCCAAGAATCGGAAGGCGGCCCTACATTGCTGAGCCAGCGATTCAGCGTAGCTTCTCACGATGGCACAATGTCCGACTCAGGTTTCTGTCATCAATAAACTTGCCCTTTTGGGTGTTCACTCAATATCGACTGCCGAGTTTCCGGCTCAGTCGACGCGTCTCTCCGGCTCCGGATGATGCACTATATATGCCGTGCCTCTCGTCTCCTGGAGTGCATATTGCCTGAACTCGACACCGCTCATCATCCAACAAGCCGGGCCCCTTCTTTCAACTCGAGACACGCTTATCGTTCTTCTCAGACGTTCAAGCTGACCATGGGCATCATTACTCCCTCCTCTCTGCTGCTATCCTTGGCAACGTTGGTCGCCTCGCACGGCCATGTTGACTGGCTAGTGGCCGACAACGTCGCCTACCGCGGCTGGGACTCTCCTGCATTCACGTATTCGCCTCCCGCATACCCGGTCGTCGGATGGAAGATCGATGCCCCTGACAATGGTTTCGTCGAGCCAGTCAACTTCGGTACAGGCGATATCATCTGCCACAAGAACGGATCTCCCGCCGGCGGCCATGCCACCGTCCCTGCAGGAGCCAAGATCCAGCTCGTCTGGAACACATGGCCCGAGTCCCACAAGGGTCCTGTGATCGACTACCTGGCCAAGTGCAGCGGCAACTGCGAGTCTGTCGACAAGACCTCGCTGAACTTCTTCAAGATCAGCGCCGGCGGACTCATCGACATGTCGCTCTCGAACGGCAAGTGGGCCGACGATGTCCTGATGGCCAACAACTTCACCTGGACCGTCCAGATTCCATCGAACCTGGCCCCAGGCAACTACGTTCTTCGCCATGAGATCATCGCACTGCACTCTGGTGGCAACGTCAACGGCGCCCAGGCATACCCGCAGTGCTTCAACCTGCAGGTCACTGGCGGCGGCTCCCTCGCTCCGGCTGGTGTCAAGGGCACGGCTCTGTACAAGTCAGACGACCCCGGCATTCTTTTCAACCTGTACACTTCGCCTTTGGTCTACCCAATCCCCGGTCCGACTTTGGCGGCGGGAATCTCGTCTTCGACTGCTGCTCAGAGCACCGCCCGGCCGACCGCGACATCCAGCGCGACGGCCCCCGGAGGTAGCGGCGGAAGCAGCCCCACCACGGCTCGGACGACAACGGCGGCGGCCCCGGCTACCACGACCACTGCCAGGACGACGACTACCACCGCGGCAGGAGGAGGTTCCGGCGGCAGCACCGTGCCCAAGTATGGCCAGTGCGGTGGTATTGGATACAGTGGCTCGACGACTTGTGCTTCTGGTTCGACTTGCCAGGTTCTCAACGAGTACTACTCTCAGTGTGTTTAGGGTAGAAAGCTGAGGAATTTCGGCCGGGTGTAATTTTCAGCAGATACTGGAAGTATCAGAACATTCTTGTACATAGTTCAATAGCTGTTAGTGTATTCGTCAATCCGAAGTCGCCGTCTCGGTCAAATGTTGTGCGTCAAATGCCGTGGGTGTGATGGGGTCCGCTTATTACCCCTGGAATACCCTGTCTTCCCTTTGGACATGACTTGCAGATTGATGTAACAAACGCTCTAACGATTTGGATTCATGTGTTATCAATCCAGACGAACTGGCTGAGATCCCACCGGGGTAAATACGAATACGACACGCCCCACCCTGCCGGTGGGCAGCTATCTCATGTCTAACCCCCCTTTCATGCCTTAGTCTTTCTCCTAATTCTAATTTTCGCTCCTTCGGGAGGAAACAGTGCTTCTGTCATCCAGTAATTTGGCGGTCTTTGCCCGTTGTACTCTGCGGGGAACTCGACATCGTAGTGACCCAGAACATAGGCAATAATCATCTTCAACTCAAAGTCGATCAGAAAGCGGCCAGGGCACGCGTGCTTTCCGTGTCCAAACGGCAAATACTCGGTGCTGGTAGTGACAAACGAGACAGGGGGCACCTTCTCATCCTTGGCCGCGGCATTCTCGCGGATCCGGGAGAACCGGAACGGGTCGTACTTAAGGGGCTCCTCGAAAAGTTCGCCGTCCGTGGCAGCGGGCTGGCCGAGGAATGAGATGAGCGTGCCCTTGGGCAGGTGGTTTCCGTCTGGGCCCTTGTACCCATCGACCATGACCTTGCGGAAGACTGCGCGTCCACCAAACGACTGGAGGCGAAGAGTCTCCCGGGCCACGCTGTCTGCCTTCATCATCTTGCTGACCTTGGCTTTCGTCCAGCTGTCGTTGCCATCTTCGTACAGGATGCGGTTAACTTCGTCGCGTAGAATGGATATCGTGTTGAACTCGGAATCGGAGCCGATGATGTTGAGCAGCATGTTCGTCGCTTGGATGCTTGTCTGGTGCATCGAGCCGAAGTTCGCAGCAATGAGACGCCTCGTCATCATGTCAACGTTGTTGAACTCCTCGACGCGGTTCTTTTGAGCGTATCTCGCCATCATCTGCAGGTGGTCTTGCGGTTCCGGGTGATCCGGGTCGTTGCGGTCGTACTTCAAGCTCTCGACGCGTTCGTTCCAGTACGGCTCAAACATCTTTCTAAGTCTTTTGATTCTGCCGTGCAGCGGCAGGTTCAGGAGATAGCCGATCAGAGGTCTCAAAATCCTGGGCGCACCCCCAACAGCGCCAGCGTTGACGACGAGATGGTCAATGATTTCGTAGTTAAGTTTGAAATAATCCTCGTCTCTGCCTAAGTCGCACAAGTTAGTATATAGACCGCCTGTGAACAGATGTTCATCTTACAAATAGGCAATCCGATTGTGAAGCGACCAGCCGCTTGTGCGACAATTTGTCTGATGAGAGAGAACAGGTCGATCTCCTTCCACTCGGTGTCTGTACCAAACCACCTGTCGACCGCGATGCCCAGCTCGTTGTTCATAGCAGCGCAGACATTCTCCAGGATGAGGTTCATGTCTGTCTTGACGAGATGCCCCTGCCAAGCATCCGTCACATATCGAGCGTCTCCAAGCGCGTAGTGGATCTGATCGACCTCCGCGAATGCTTCGCTGGGGCTCAATTGGTCTTCGGGCTGCGTCAAGACCCATCGCATTGTGCTCGTGGGCATGATCACCTCGTGGCGGAAGCCCAGGCCAGGGATCACGACGGCTTTACCTTTCTTGGCATACTGGATCGACCAACGCGGGTTAGCGCCCGAACTGGATTGATGGGCAGCGATAAAGGAATTTTGGACTGACGTTGTCAAAGGCCTCCCGGAACAGTCCTGGGCAGTCTGTGTAGTACCGAAGAATAGTGCGGAAACTGAATCGCGTCGCGCCCTCTGGCTCGCCGATGAGGGCGATGCCCTCCGGGTAGGGGATTCTGTAGAATGTTCGGCTGATGAGGAAGAAGATCACGAAGCTTCCTGCTGCCAGCAGACCGATGCCTGACCAGCTGGAGAGCTCGGGGAAGATCAATGACGTGGGAGCCATGGTGGACCGCGCGATCTGAAACTAGCGTTCAAATTACAGCAGTCTGCGGTTTCCCGAGTCGTGACGGCTTCACCACGGGTAACACGGAGGGATAAGGTTGATGTCTGAATTGACCCAAGCTCCGCGTCAAACTTGAGGGGAAGCTCTGGGGTTTTAACTCATCTCAATGCTGACATACCCCGTCCCATGTTTGGCTTGATGGGGCCACAGGTGGGAGACGCGAGCCAGAGAGTTGGGCCCAACGTGGAGACTAGCAAGGGTGATCCCCCGGTAGCGCGCCCGCATTACCCATGTCAACTTGTCAAGGGCAGTGTCCGCGACGGAAGCCTGGACATTTTGTAGGGCTGCCTGGAGGCCATCAGCTCCGGATATTTCAAGGTAAATTGCTTCGGCTTTTCATGTCCCTGGGCGACACAGCAGCGTCCAGGTGATCAACAGCGGGTACATGCAGCAAGACACATAGTTGGACAAAGTAACGTACAAAACGAGCCAACAACCTGATCACGTAGCCTTCGAGCCGCAGCGGAGACTGACAAGCTCTCACAAAAATCAACTCGAAGATCCATAGGAACAACACGTTAACCAATTTGAAGCTATCATCATGCCATTTCTTGGCCAATCAACAAAACTGTGCATCCTTCGCGGTTGCTTAGCTCTCATTCGTGCCCTTAGCCTGGGTAAGCAGCCACATTCCGAAAAAGGTAATGCGTAGCAGCACCAATTCTTGAAAGGATGCGAACCTGCAGCACCCGGATTTGTTCCTTGTTCTTATTCAGTTAGGCTGAGTTTTATCTCATTGGTTGGCTCGGTCCCACCCCTCAGTACTGAGTGCGCGATCTGGGCTGTGGCGGCCGCCGACCCAACCAACTCAATGGACAGAGAGACAATAAGTTCAAAAAGAATCACCATGAAGCTCGACAGCAAAAGATTGGACGAACAGGGAATCGAACCCTGGACCACTCACATGCTAAGCGAGTATTATACCACTAAACCATTCGCCCAGATGATTTCGCCCGGACTTGAACCGGAGACCTTCAGTGTGTTAGACTGACGTGATAACCAACTACACCACGAAACCATTTGAATTGTTGGAGACGGGAAGCAAAATTTGAGAATATGGAGCATTGGCGTTTGGTGTGGTGGAAAATCGAGTCGTGAAGCGAAAAGAAAGCCCTCATGTGGGTCCAGTCCGGGTCTGGTCCGGTCTGTTTCGGCAGGGCAGCCGGAGCACGGCCGGAGCCCAGCTCGGGAGTCTTCAGATTATTTCAAACGGTCGAATCGTGTTGATCAAGGACGGGAGGATCATTGTGACCGTTTCTCAACAATTCATTACGTAAAATACTTTGAAATTGCTTTAGGAATTGAAAGACCTCATCTTACGATATCAAGCTGTGGTAAATCGCACACGATTCAGGTGTGAATAGTCTCCTGCAATCATTCTCACTAACAATGGTTATGATTGTCTTCTACAGCTTTCCAATTGCCTCAACAAGAGTCTTTCCAATGACCCCAGCGCTGGGCGGGTTCTGCCCGGTAATCAGCCGACCATCCTTGCCGCTGACCACGACCTTGACTCCGAAAAGCCGATCCGCCTTGACATAGTGAGCTCCGTGATTCTTCATCTCAGTCTCCAGCAAGAAAGGCATCGCATCCGTAAACTGATACGCATCCTCCTCGGCGTTGGAGAATCCAGTCACCTCTTGGTCCTTGACTAGGTATTCTCCATCCGACAGCTTGACATTGACTAGGGCACCAGGACCATGGCAGACGGCCGAGACAATCTTGCCGTCCTCGTAGAACTCGCGAATCAATGCGTGAGAGACCGGGTCAACGGCCAAGTCGAACATGGCTACACAGTCAATGTTGTCAGAGATCTCACGGCACTCGCTCCGAATTCAGAATTGATTCACTTACGTCCGTGGCCACCGACGTAGAAGATTGCAGCAAACTCTGAAGATCTCTGAAGCATAGTCTCCAGCTTCTCCGTCTTCTTCCAGAGGCTCTCCTTTTCTTTCAAGAAAGCCTGGCACTCTGCGTCATCCTTGGCTTCTTGAACGGAGTAGGGATCAATCGGAGCTTCGCCGCCCTTGGGCGAGGCAACCACAATATCCACATGAGGAGCGAGTGCGTTGTAGGGGTGCACGAATTCCGGAAGGTACCATCCGGTCTTCATGCCATCCCGCGTGGGGAGGTTGTCTTGAGACGTCAAGACGACGAGAACCTTGGGCTTTACTGACATTTTGAAAGAGTGAAATGGATTATTCCAATTGCAGAAATATTCGTAATGGTCAACCTGCGATCACATCGAGACATGTAATCCGGCGTGCTCAAAGCCATCTTTTTGTATCTCTTAGTATAATGGATTTAGAGTTTTGACTCCGTAAGAGTAGCCAATTCGGGGCATGGTTCCCCACAGGATTGGGTTGAGCTGGGGACGAACATCCTAGCAAACATCACCAGGGTGGATACTTTGTCTCTCGGGGGTCGGCAGTGTCATCTCTAACTCCCTCCAAGCTTCCTGTTATCCATTAAGAGGTGTTCATCGTCGGTTCTAGCGGAAATTATGACTAACTATGTCCGAGTGTCAATGAACGACGACGTTACTCACAGTTCAAAAATTGCGAGGAAACTGCCGAAAAGTCAAGAGCGCATATATAAGCACCCCCACCCAGTCTGTTCTGCAGATGGCATGCCTAAAGTTTGACAACGATCGCCTTCACTTCTTGTGCTTTTCCAACAGCATTCCGACCTCCATTCAAAGACAGCTTTCATTCATAAAGAGCTACCAACAATCACAATGACCATCACAATCACCGTCGTATTCCCCAGCGACGACGATGCCCAGTACGACATCGAGTACTACGTCACCAAACACATGCCCCTGATCCAGGAGAGATGGGGTAAGTACGGCGTCAAGTCTTGGTCCGTAACGAAATTCCAGCCTGGAGCAGATGGAGCCAAGCCGTTGTACGCATTCGGTTCGGTCGTGTACTGGGACAACCTGGAGCAGATCAAGACGGCTTTTGGAGGCCCGGAGGTTGGGGAGATCATGGGCGACGTTTCCAACTTCTCGAACAAGGAGCCTATCTTCCTCACCGGCGAGATTTTGCATGAATAAGCAGACAAAGATGGTTTCCCGAATGTCTGGTGCTGGGATACGAGGCGATAAATTTTCGAGCCGGGTGCTCAATCGGAGAGAGGGACTTGGGTATTGCCCGATCATCACGCGTGCCTAGGTAGCTTCAAAACATAATGAGGCTTCTCCGGATTATTCATCCAGCTACACTTAAATCTATTTTGCCTTCATTCACGCTCAATTAGACAAAGCTCAGATCGTCGTCCCGCACTATTCCCGCATATCGTGCTCCCGGAGACGCGGACGAGATGGTTCATGGAATAATACAATCACTTCTCCGGTTGGCGTTCTAGCCCTGGGATTTGGCCCAACGCCACAAGGCTTGGCCAATACGCGTCTGTTCGCAATTGTAGGTCGAGGCCCTGTACTACCATGACATGGGTATGCCCTGATGGGAGCCAGAATGAGGAGCTTCCCAGTCGACCCATTTCTCAAACCATCTTCCCAGCATTTCAACACGAGTAGAACGAAGCATTGCTTCATCGTCCCTTCTCATATCCCCAAGCCATTGGCGGTGACAAACCAACCGCTATCGAAACTAAGTCTGTTGCACACAAATGCTGTTTGTTTATTTGACTTCCCGGAACGTCCCCCCGTCCATGAGCTTATTTTCCTCCGATCCGACAATGCAACGCTGCAGCGCAAACTCCGGGGTCTATCTGCCTTAAACTGTGACCTTTTCGAGCTTCCTTTCTTAGCTACAGCATGCATTTGCTTCCTTGCAAACCAGGGCACCACCTTTCGCCCAGAAGCCAATTGCTCTTGCGGACACTCTGTCACACCTTACACGTACGCGAACATGCCCATCCAGGATCGATGAAAAACGTGAAGGCCACGCGAGAGACCTTTCATCCTCGCCATCTCGCGTGTCACCCCCAAATCACCCGTCACTCTTGGCTGCATCCAAGCGCATTCTCTTCACCCAAAATTTTCTGCATTGGCCTGTCTGCCCATTGATACGGATCACCGAAATTCCACCACTCCTGAGAAGGCTGTCTTTATTAGCCGGTCCTTGGCGCAATCGCTTCCTGGTGGTATCTTTGCCAAGATCCCGAAGCAGCGGGTCGGATGGCAATCACAAGCGATGCACGACGAAAATCGGACAGGGTTCTCCGCATGGGGCCATCAGAGGTGACGATGTTGCAAAAAAGAAAGCAAGGGGAGGGGAACCCGAATTTCAAGAGCTTCCGTTGACCGAGATCGGATGTGATTACTGCGGCATATTGCGCAAGGCACAGTTGTAATGATGTTTGTGTATAAATAGTATCCTACAGATCGTCCTCCTCTTCTCCCGTCTCTCCACGCCATGTCTTTTCTGGTGGATTATTCAAGTCATCGGGAGCGTCTAAGTCATAATGAGACTGATAACAAAGGCCATTCTCTGCGCCTTCGCAGGCCTGGCCGCCGGGAACCCCCTCGACTGGCTCGGTATCGCCTCCTGGGACGTCGAGGGCTACGCCAAAGACAACCCCCTCGGCAAGACCACCGGCGGCAAGGGCGGCCCAACCGTCACCGTCTCCACCATTCCGGAGCTCCAGACCGCCGTCGCCGGCACTGATCCCAGAACCGTCGTCTTGAAGGGCTCTCTCGAGCTTCCCGCGCGGCTCAAGGTCGGCTCCAACAAGAGTCTCGTCGGGTACAAGACCACGGCACACATCACCGGCAAGGGCGTCGACGTCTTCAACTCGACCAACGTGATCCTGCAGAACTTGAAGATCAGCCACATCCTGGACAACGACTGCATCACGATCCGGAACTCGACGCGGGTGTGGGTGGATCACAACGAGTTCACCTCAGACATTAGCAAAGGCCCTGATTTCTACGTAAGTCGTGGTCGAACTTCCATGCCCTTAGCAAACGCTAACTTACGCCTTGCAGGACGGTCAAGTTGACATCATCCGCGCCTCGGACTGGATCACCGTCTCCTGGAACTACTTCCACGACCACTGGAAGTCCTCGCTGGTCGGCAACGACGCGACCTTCCGCGACCTCGACTCGGGCCACCTGCACGTCACTTACCACCATAACTACTGGCGCAACGAGGGCACGCGCGGCCCCGCGGGGCGCTTCGGCCGCCAGCACATCTACAACAACCTGTACGAGGACTTTCTCTACCAGGCCATCCACTCGCGCTCCGACAATCAGGTTCTCGTTGAGGGCAACGTCTTCCGCGGGAACACGCGCGAGGCGCTCAGCACGTATGGACTGGTCATTCCTGACGACTCGCCGAATACGTGTACGTGTGGTGATGAGGAGTTGGATGGGTTTGCTAACCTTGGGGCTCGTAAGTTGTCTTATCTGCTGTATGCCATGGGTTATGCTAAATGTTCTGTGATAGCCAACGACTGGGGCAAGGCTGGTGTCAACATCACACAGAAGGGTGACTTCTACAAGGCGCCTTATAAGTTCAAGCTCACCCCGTTGCCACTCGTAGCCCCTATCGTGAAGCTTGGTGCTGGTGTTGGTAGAGTGTAGGTGGCTGTGTGTGAAGGGAGAGCCCTCAACTATGGGGTTGGAATACTTCCCAGGCAAGAAGGATGCGGGTCGGACTCGGTGTTTCTACCTCTCATCACAAATACTTAAACAGTAATTCATCACTAAGTAGACTCTTTCCCGTATACCAAGCAACTGTCTCTCTCATTGGCGGTTCTTTTAGATTCTTCACGTGCGTCCGACACATTTCGCCTTTTGTGATACAAGCTGATTCGTCCTCAATCAAAGCCAAAAGTCTCCCAAAAGACGATCTATATCAATCCAATCAATTTCAAACATACTTCCTCAAACGGCAAAACAAAATCGCTGGTCAATTTTGAAGTTCTGGCCAAATATCCGCATGAAGCACTAGCAGGAATATGTGTTGTGTAATAGCATCACACTGTGAATTGTGCGACCGAAGTCGAATTCCTCTGTAGCCGCTCGTATCCCTGGTGTATGGGGTTCCAAACAAAGCTCAGTTGATAGAAGCTCCAGATACCTTAGTAATTAAACAGTAGAAATAGGGGAGGAACCTCTGAAACCACCAGCCTGTGTAGTGGATTATCATCAAAGGGCAGGGCTCACGGCTAAGGGTTCGCAATCACCAACATGACAACGACTCCATTTTTTGAAACTACACTACATTTCCCGTCTTCTCAATATAGACAAATCGCTATCGTGGCAAGTTTGTGCCTCAACATACTTACTGCATTTCAAAGCAACCTCATTCTTCCACCTTCTCATCCCCCGGTGTACGTCGAGACATCACGCGCTCGTGATACAATCTTTATGTCTCTGAGTAAACGAGATTGAGATAAGGCAGATAGCTAAGTAACTATATATTGAGGAATTAATCTTGAGTTTACAATTCACACCACGCCCGATAGTTGAGAAATTGGGCTGTCAGAGACGTTTACAGTTTCATACCATAATCAGAGAGACTGTAGGACTCGGGGATGCCAGCCTTTAATAAAACACTAAAATGAAACTAGCCCTGAACGTATGCGCTTGCCCTTGGTTTATTTGAACTAACATAAACCTTAGGCAATACAGACGCTGGAGGATCACATCACGCCGAAAATGATGTGAAGACATTTGAACTCGGATCCTTCATTTACTGATACGAAGTCATGACCACAAGCTCGAGCTTCATCTTCAAGAAGAAAAGGCAGAGGTAGTACATACGAAAGAAACCCCGATTGTTGAGGAGATGAGTTCACAACAGATGTCTCGGATATTTATATACACATCACCAGCGCCTAGCCTTTGTAAACCGATCTCATCATTCTGGTATAAATTAGTCATTTCTCACGGATCTCACTCTTACCTCACAACACAATCTTCTTACTTTTCTCGATCTCTTATTTGCAGATTTGGGGCCCCAAAGAAACCATCAATCAAATCCTTCAGCAGACAACGCCAGAGCCCAAACGCACGATATTATGACCAGCAGCCTCCGTCCGCCAGCCATTCTACTCCCAGATTATCCAAACATGCATACCCCACGAACAGTGCTCATAGTTCCGTATCACAGTACCACCCCATTCGCCTTGTCTTCTCCATGACAATTTGACCAAGGTACTGATGACGTAGTTTGCAACCATTATGGTTGCGAAAACACAACACCCTCCCATCCAATGCCAATGGTGCTAAAGTAGACCACTCCTTCGGGGTCGCATATTTAAGAGACCGAACCAAATAAATGCTGGGGACAGTCCCATCTGCCAGCACTATAAAATCTCCGTAATTCCCTTCGATATTCGGTCCTCAACGGCGATGCATTATGGTAATTTACACCTTAATGAAGGGGGGAAGGCTTACACTCGATCAACAGTCAAATTCCCCGGGCCACGTCTGGCTGGAAACCTTCGAGCCATCTCCCCACATCCTCTCGAGACCTCAAATTGTGGTGGCATAGTCCCTACTATCTTTCAATACCTGTACCAATACCCTCAGAACGCGAATGCTGGACGGTGACAGCTTCCATGGACGAGGGGTTTGTTCCAGAGGTACCACGCGGATTGTTACTCAGGCTGGGTCACATATGCACGCATGCGGCTCTGTGGACCGACGAGGGACCGCGTATGGTGCCCGTTTCAGTCTCGTCGTTTACATTGCTGCGTTCTTTGCAACAATCTTCACTCCAGAAAGATTACACATTTTATATACGTCCCCTTCAACAACGAGCCCACATCACCATGAATATCCACGCAACTCCACGCCGTAAGTCCTTCCGGGGCGTCATCGCCATAGTCTGGGAAAACTTCCAACCCCCACGTTCAGACGAACCGCAGCGCCGTATCTGCATCAACCGAGTGACCGACAAACATGAACAAGTTATAAAAGCACATTAAAAGGTCCAGAGACGGGAATTCTCCAGACGAACCCAAATGGGCGGTCTACAAATTCGCCAGGGCCAAATTTCCTCCAGTCGTAACCAAGTTTACACGCTAGGGGTGGAGAGTCTTGCATTCGGAGTCGGAGGGAAGCTGCTCACTCAGTACGTG